TAAACCTCTTTATCAGTCCAGGTCATAACCATTTCTGGATACTGCTGACGTCATCAAAAATGGCTTCTGGTCTCGGCCTCGTCTTTTACTACTCTTATTTGAGCCTTAGTGGATTTAGTCCTCAGTTATTTTCCTTGAAACTTTGCAAAATTAAAGGCAAAGAGTGACTAAATACAACAAGCGAATGCATGTAGGTGACAGCTTCGGCTGTGATTGCAAGGAGAAACTCAGTGGAAAAGTTGAGCAAAGGCCGGGGCATCTGTGAGGTCGCCGACTGAGGAGTTGCCTCTCTTAAGTTATTGTTTTCAGGTATATAGCATTCTTTTTCATTTTTGTTTTGGTTCCTACAAAAAATATTTTAAAAAACTAGAATGAATTTGCTTCCGATTTGTCGAAATTCCTGTCGAGTGCCCAAGACTTATTTCGAGTGCTCGGGCGTTAAAAGTCTAGTTAGGGAACAAACTAGGCGCTGCCTTTCTTTGTTCAGAGCTGTCGGAGACTTTTGTAATCTTTACTTTACAACCGTTTGTGTTGCAAGGCATTGCAAATTTTTGTTATTTTTTGAACTTAAAATCCAGATAACATGGCCTGATATTACGGAGTTTTGAAAACTGCATTTATAACACGTGTGTAAGCTTATGTACGTTCGTGTCGTTGAGATTCCAGGCATGAATGAATAAAAACATTACAGTTTGTCGTCTTCGTGGGAAAAATACGATGTGGAGCAGGATGGTGACGTGTCACGTTCTGTTAAACCTCTTACTAGCGGGTAGATTAAACTGTAGAGGATTACAAACTTTAACTAAGCAAATCTTATCATTGCCGGGATCATCGCTGTTTGCCTCACAATTAGAGGTCCTTTCCTGTGCTTTTTGTTTCGGACAGGAACTGACCTTTGATGATTTCCTGCTATGCCTTGTCACGCGTTGTTTTCAGGGTGCTGAATTTTCCCGTATAGTGATTTACTGGCCCGAATTAACATGGTATAAAACGGCGGGGTCTGTAGGACTGAACGACTTTTACCTCATAATGTAAAATGTCACTTTCTCGGACTCTTTTCTTTCTGACGGGTAGAAAATCCTATTTTGCCGCTGGTGTCACGTTGAGAAGTCATGAAGCTGACCTATTTTCTGTTTTTTTTTTTCTTTAAATACAGGATTTGAACTCTGGTGCGATGCAGTTTGCAGCATTTTCTCCTGGGAGGTGGGGGTTGTACTTGGGATAATGTTTGCTGGGTATGTGTCTCTGGCCTCTCCAAGCTCCTTCCCCATTATAGACCGTCATTTTTTGGAAAATGTAATTTTCGCGATCCCAAATTAGTCACTTTTTATTTATACATCTAACTACCTTTTCAATGTGGTTTCAAGCGGCCGTTTTTATTTCGATCAATGCGAGCTTATTGTTAAATTTAATAAACAACAAGTTTCTGATTTTTTTTTTAACCGAGAATCTTCCCATTTTTAATCTCTACTTACCCCAAAAATCCGACAGTCTGCGACCCCATTCTAGTAACTCCATTGAAAATGCGACCCCATTATAGTCACTACAGTCGTGAAAATGCGACTAAATCCAGTAAGAGAGACCACCCCCCCGCCCCCCCCGGGGGGGCATTTTCTATGGCTCGGCGGATCAAAGACAAACACGTTCCAAAGTTGAATTTGTACTGGAAAGAATCCGCTTCACTCTTTCAGACTGGGGTAATGTCAAGGCTTGTATGCTGAATTTTTCAAATAAATGAATTATTTTTTTGCTCTCTTTCCATGCAGTGTTTATTACTGAATTTTGTTTCGGCCGATTGCCGCAAATGGCTGTCATCAAAAATATATCCAGCCTCTACTTATTTCCAGTATTCTTCGGCCAAGTTTATTTTGTTTTGGTTTTGACTTCAACCAATCAAAATGCGCGAAACCGGTATCCAGAAATGGTTATGGCTCGAACAGTTTAAAGGAATCTAATTAATTTTAAAATTTTGGAGCAGATGTCTTCATGCTGCTTTGTTTAAGATAGCTCTCCTATCGCTGTGCGGGGTATGAAGACGAGTTCTAGTTTTGGGTCAGCAAAGTCAACCCTGAACGGCGTCACTACACAAATCTGACCCACAAGGCCCTGTTTATTGTGCGTACTTATACCTAGAATGCAGGAATTTATTGAACGCCACAGGTGTAAGACTTGTTAGCATAGTATATGTTTGGCTGCGCGATGCCGGGGTACATTTTTTAAGATAAACGCGTATATTTCAAACTCCAAAAAGTGACTCCAGAAACATGTTCAGCAGGTTTACAGACTGGATAGATTTTTTTAGACCTACAACTAAAACAGAGGTTAAATTTAATTTCGTGTCACGTGGACTCTTTGGGCGCTTCAATGTCGTTAAAAGAGTTTATCTTTAGATGTCAAAGGCAATCAGCGAATATATCCTAGCATTTTTTGCCGAAGGATTATTTTGAAATTAAAACCATCACGTTACATGATTATGTAAATATTGTTACCGCTTTCAGTAACACATCCCATCAGCTTTATAACGTGTGGGTGAGGTTTAAGTTTCTTCATCACTTCAAGTTCTGACATCAAATCTTCTCTGTCAGTCTCGCAGGCGTTATCTGCAAGTTTAAGACGCACTAAGGAAAATCGTAAAGTGTAACTCCCATTTTAACCAGACAGGGTTATCATTAGCGAGAGGACACGTTTTTCTCTAGGTACTACAGTACAAGCATGAACTCAGCCTGGCTTCTTTCATGGGAAACATGAAGAAAATAGAACCAAACGAACCTCCAATACAAGCTTTTCAATTCGTCTCCTAATTGTATGTATCTTCACGGAAATGTCTAATTCTTAGTGATAGCCTAAAAAGACGAAATGACTACTAAAACGGTATGTTAATTTTTTTTTACTCCGGGATTTTCTGCGCGTTTGCTCGCTATTTTGCATTCCTAGTGGTGCGGACGTACTCTAGTGCAGGTGAAAATACGGACGTGTTAGTAAATTTCTCTAACCATCTCCTTAACCCCTATTTACTAAGTAAGATATATCTTGATAGACTCACTAGCTTTTATGATATCCGGCGATCTTTTTAGCCTCAATGATAACAGTAACAGTAATATAAATCCATGTCAATTCACTTCTTAATAATGTAGATATTATTCTCCTCTTTCGTTTACAAAGGTTAAAAAACCTAGCCGCTATTGCCACTATTGTTGAAAATGCCATCTAATTTCGTTTAATATAAAAGTATAATTTTATTCTTTCTTTTTTCTCTTCCAACCTTCTTTTAACTTATATGCATATCATGTAATTAATATAAATTACTATCTTATCTGTGCCTGACCCGTCACTCTCCGTGTTCCTGCTACAGTTGCGGGTCAGAACCATGTTATATATTTGTTGTCGTTATCGTACAGTTGTTTGGTGTCCCAGGTGTGCCCCTTCTGCAACCGGATCTTCTTTAAAGACACATGCCATGAAAAGGAAAACATAACACAGTCTTAGCCTGATAGGGTACCTTTCAACATCTTAATGGCCACTCTTGTCGTTCCATGTCTCCCTCGCAGCTCTGAGGCTGTTGCTTGAGCAACCTGTCCAAATGAACCTTTTCCAATCACCTTTTCAATGGTGACGTTTTCTCTTGGAACTTCCCAGGATCGAGTTGCTGGATGCAATGGTGCATATTCATTAATCTCCAAATCAGGTGATGCCTCTGTTCCTGTTTCTGCTGATTCGCCAGGGAACTCTGTAACTTCTCCCAACTCCATGTAATGTCTTGGAACGGGAATTTCACGCTCTCCATTGTTCCCGCTTTCATTTTGGAAACCTTGGTTCTGTTAATTGACATAATACCTTGTAGAAATTTTAGAAAAATTATCGCCAACCGCAGAGGACTTAATAGCTTTTTCGATAAAATGAAGTAATGGGTATGAATATGCTAAGTTATTTATCCTAAGGCCTCAGCCTGTCTCCCCAGTTTTAGTACTTACCAGGTGAGATCTGTGTAATTCCCTTTGACTATTATATTGTCTAAGTAAATAAAACATCTTATCAGATAGAAGCAGTGACGTATACTCTACATTGTTTACTAGACATAATACAAGTATACAAAGTCATATAGACATTAGGTGGCGTTTGCAACTTACCTATCAGCTCGATGACCTAATTTCAAGAACGAAAAAAAATAGATGTTTACAAATTTCTAATTGCCACGTGGAAGCCACTAGTAACCAAACTATTGGAGTGTTAGGTTTAGTACTTAACCTAGGCAAATGTTTGGGAGTTGTGTTGTCACATACTGAAAGAAAATGATAAAGGAAACGTACAGCCTAGTAGAAAAGGCTTGCAGAAGTCCATGTTGAGTTGGGAAGATTTGTGACACTCGAAGGAAACAAGGATGATTGGGTTGCCTAATGTATTGAGTTTGATGTCTAAAATGCATTGAAAACTTGTTTTGCATTCCAAATCAAATGAGAAATGAAAATGATTCATGTTACTTACGTCTCTGGTACTTCATTACCAAGTATATTAAAGCTGAAATAACGATCAATCCCATTATTCCAATGACCGGTCCATATATTGCATCTTTGTTAAGCATTCCGGTATTAGATGAAACTGTTGTTGAAAAAGGTATGGCAGTCTCTTAAAAAAACAAAACAAAAAAAAATATCAATTTATATTGATCCTATTTGTAACATCCAAATATGAAATCACTTTAAAAACGCGGCAAATAAAGTTATAAAGAGAAAATGCTCTGAAAACGTCTAAAAAGAAGTATATAACGTATAATTTTTTAAGATTTTGCAAGATGTTTCTTAAAAGAATTAACCACAGCAGCTAACGTAAAACTAGATAAAAAAAGAATTTTTTTCCTACGAAACCGTGGTATGCTAGCAGTAAGCGAATGAAAGGCAAAATTTTAGTTTATTATTTAATTCTTATTATTTTTTCTTCCAGAGTGTAGAAAAATTGAAAAGATGGCGTTTGTTTCGAGCGTTAACCCTAACATATAAGTGCGAATCAGGTGATTGCGGGCCGTGTGTGGGTTTTATGTAGCATGTTGGAGTTACACGATTGATGGCAAAATGGTAAAGTTACTAAGAATAGATTTGCTGAATGAAACAAACCCTTTGTAGGCCAGTTAAATACCTTAAGATTATAGCATAGATACGGGGACCTGCAGATCTGTCAAAGGACGAATCCTTCTCGGAAAGAACTGTTACCATCAACGGCTACCATAATAATTATTATAACTATCGTTAGAAAATTCCAAAGGATCGTAAGTAATAACAAACCTCTTCCATAAGAAAGTTGTTACGCATAGTTACGTGACTTTACAATCAGGCACTTACGTAACAATAAGATCTCGATGGTGTCACTGGCATGTCCGTAGATATTAGTTGCATTACACCGATATCTTCCAACATCCCTTTCTGTAGCAAACTTTATTTCCCATTTGCTATTGCTTAACTTGTCGTTACTTTCAACGTGCGTCCAAAAGACAACTGGTGCTGGCTTCCCAGAGACATTGCAAAATAAAGTAAGAGATTCCCCTCTAATGACAACTTTTCTTTCTTCCAAAGGTTCGATCGATGGAGGAACTAAAATTGATAACCGAAAATAACTGTAAGGTAAGAGTTGAGGTTTCCCTTACAATGAACTCTTAACTCTTATCTATTTTCGTGTACACTGACCCCGCTTTCCCATAATTTCTATAGAATATAAGGTAAAAACAATTCGATCGGACGGGAACTTAACGAGAAAAATACAGAGCCAAGTGTGACAGCCACTTTGAACTGAGCTGTACGGCAAGACGCCGACTGAACAGATACGTTCAAAAACAAAGTACAAAGTCAACTAAAAGTGTGATGTTTATTAGCTATACAGTAAGATCCCCAATGTAATTTTGCTAACGCTACCCAAATACACATGTAAGTGTACATGTATTAAAGGAAGGCAAAATTGTTTTCCTCCCGTAATGCAGACAAAACCCTTCTAGTCTTCTGTAAACTAGCCCACATGCGTAATGTATAAAGACGTATTAGTGTCAAAGCAGTGCAAAGAGGACTCACAATGTACAAATACGGACGAATCTCTAGTAACAACACTTCCAACACCATTATAAGCAGTGCATCTGTAGGCTCCTTCATCCAATTGCCCAATATCGGTCAAAGGAAAAATGACAGCACTGTTATCAGAAACCCTTGTCCAGCTGATTACTGGAGGTGGATTACCATCTGCTGAGCAGTTGAGAGTCACACTGGAGCCTGCATTCAGTATCTGGTTGTTAGAAATGTGTGTTACGACTGGAGGGTCTACGTAAAAAAAGACAATAATAGAATATTAGAGAGCTTTGGATTCTGAGAAGAGTACGACTACGAGTACGGGATTCTCAAAATACCAAGTAGGGCTTGCGCGTGAACCAGCGACATTTTGGGGGGGAAACATGATTGCCGTCGTCATCCTACTACGAGTTTTAACGAGAATGTCGTGGTATATAACGGAAGCAAGTTATAGACTGTTGGAGGTTTTATCATTTTGCAGCCGGGAGATGGCTTAAGCTCCTTCAGTAAAGATAACAGTGCTAATTTTTTTGGCGAAAAAGAGGTGCAATGAAGCTTTTCGGGGTGTCTATAACTTGAGAATACGCGAAAAAACTTTAAGTCAAATCTTGTACTCGTAATCGTTCTCGTCCTAGAAACTAAAGGTCTTTATTAGTTACAGTCACGGTTGGTTTGCGTTAGACTGCAAGCAGTGCCTTTCAAGTCAGTCGAGTCGAGGCTTGACAGACCTAGCAAGAGCCAACGAGTACGAGACGCAAAAAGAAATTCACACCTCTTTGTCCTCCGTTTTAAACTTGGCAGGAAATAAACATATCACTAATAGCGGAGCTCAATGCGCGCGCGAAGCGCGCGCGAGCGGAGCACCTCAACTAAGATAATTTGGTAAACTATCCATCCGAGAAATTTTGGTTATGACGTCAGCGTACGTCCGTCCGTGCGGACTTTCCGGGTAGTGGAAAGTAGTCCGCATGGACTCTTGGGCTAGGGGAAAGAAGAGATTTTTGGCGGGAAATCGCATGGCGCAACGTCAGCAATTATATCGCGCAACTGGTTTTGGAAAAAAGAAATTTCAAAGCAACTTAGCAAAACGTTTTTTCGACAAAGCCTTTTTACCTTTTTATTACAACTCTTAAATGTTGATCAAAGATGATTGCTAGTTTTTGGGTGTATATATACGGCTATCAATTCGATGTAAGATTTTTTTCACTCTATAATCACTTATCCTTAGCTTTCCCTAAAAAGTCACATATGTGCCCTTAAGTTAACTGATTTGTGGATAACAAGTTTATTGTTTGATTTAAATTATAAATTTCTTAATGGGAGCTTCGCTTTTAGCCCTGGCTAAATCTATATATTAATAATAATAACAATAATAGTAATAATAAATACATTCTTCTGTGGCGCATTTACAAAGCTCAATGCGCCTTACAATGATTTACAAACAGGAGATAAAGTCAAAATCCCTATATAGGAAAAAAAAATAGACATACAGGAATTGTTTGTAAAGTGAGCTGAAATACAACTTTGATATAATTTCACATTGGACAATCAAGCCGTCTGATCACCCCAAGTCTGTTGCATATCACATACGAATGATACTCTGCCCTGTTCTATCTTTCTGCAAACATGAAAATTACAGACAGATATCGCTAAATTCAGCGACGCAAGAGATACTGAAAGGATTTTATTAAGACGAAGTAATCTTAATGCAGGTTTCACTGTACATATTCTTATGATTATTATTCCCTTCACTTCTACATCTACATCTACTTTAATACTCTTCAACGCTATCAAACATCAAGAAGAGTTAAAAGAATAAAAAAGATAAACATAGCTAAACAAAAAATAATAAATAAATAAATAAATAAATAAATAAAACATGTAATTAAGAATATAACTATACTTAAAAATAAAACTTAAAATAATTTTGCACTGGAAAATGCTGAATAATTAAGTGATCTTGTTTTAGGTAATAAACAGTTCCAGTCCCTTATAGTTCTCGGAAAGAAACTATACTTATAGTAATCAGGCGGTGTGCGTCACGACCCACGAAGGTTCATGGGTAAAAGTGTTACTGTGCCTCATTTCAATCGTCACACGGTCGAGTTCGCATCTCGTAAGAGAAATGAATCAAACCCAGGGATCAAAACACTGCTGCCTTTTCCGAAAAACATTACAGACGAGAGCGATTTCGAGAATTTTCAAGATCTCATAGTGGCCTTAGATGCTTGCTATTGGCTTCACAAGACAATTTCAAGAAGTTTATCGCGATTCGGAGACGAACGTGCGATCTAACCGACTTTGAGGGCGACTAATTTCCTGCTTCTCATAAGATTTTATGTATTGTTTGGTTTATATGCATATTTTTATCTCATAGTGAAAGAGATCTGTAGTTCATACCTGGATTTGATTAACTAAAAAAAATTCGTCCATCAGAAGTGTTTATATATTTGATGGACTTTGTTACCGGCAAAGCAGGGGGAGCGCGTGGAAACAGCAATGTGAGAAATCGTCTCTCATAACAATTTTATTTTCATCGACAAGTTTATATTATTTTGAAAACAGTACCCGTTTGAAATCCTTATGCGCAAATAAATCTTCTATTAGGCAAGGGGAAAACAGACCGAAAGAGCCGAACAGCTGCAGCACAATCGGAATTTCACCGAAGCTACAGTCGCAGAAATAAACAGTGAAATAAACCACGATCTTGTCTGTGCGGTTGTTGAAGTGAGCGCAGTATATCGATTTTGTTATAAAGTAAAACCTAACCTCAAAGTTTTAAAATCCTGTATGATCGTGTCTGGATCTTCGGTAATGGTTTTGTGTTTTGGTAGAGATTTTAATATAACAATTTATTCCCTCACATAAGTTTACACAAAGATTTGTATACACATAGCACACACAGCACGCAAATTATTTTAAAGTCACACTTTCAATTTCCGCACTGGGTTATGAAAAATGTTTTTTTTTTTCCAAACGTTATTACAATATTCAAACTTATTTACCTTTTGTGGTTTAAAATAGAACAAACTCTTCCTGGATTTGGCGTTACTCGCTTCACGTCGGCATCCGCGTCGGCATGTTTTCTCAGTGCGTTTCCCGGGAGTTGTGCCACTTGGCTAAGACGATGTCTTAATTCTAAGACACTTTCAACGGCTCATAACGGGAAAACTAACAGGGGTAGACCCGGGTAGACCCCGAAATTTGCAAAGAAGAAAGGTTGAAGTAACAAGATGGCCAAAATAATTCGATAAAACCGCTAACAGTAACCAGCAATAAATCCAAGAAGAACGGCAAAAACAACACTCAAATCATCATGGCGGCATGCACACGACGGAGTAATTCAAACTCGTCACAAACGCTCAAGAAAGCAAAATATTTAAAAGTAACGCAACTGCTATCAAGATAAAGTGTTCCAACAACTTCCCACGGGGGTATAGTGTCGAAATTACCAACACAAGCTTGCACTAACGCGAAAATTTCACCACATATACCTCTGAAAACGACTCTTTCCGAGCGCGAAAATCACTCTACAAATGAAGCATTCTGATTGGTCGAATCTCGTGACGCACACCGCCTGTATAGTAATCATGATGTACAGATGGTTGAATCAATGAATTTCTAGTTTCCCTAATAGAAAATTGATAATGAGGCGGAATAGACAAAGCAATATCATTATACACTGATTTATGGAAAATTTGTAGACGGTGGGATTATCTTCTCTCGCTTAGTAAACCCAAAGATAGGGATTTCTTCAATTTGGACACGCTGGTGCTATAACTATAATCATGTTTAATAAATCTCACTGCACGACTTTGGATAGCTTCTAGATTCTCCACTTGATTCTGTCTATAAGGATCCCATACTGCAGTCGCATACTCTTGATATGGTCTGACGAGTGATACATAAGCTGCTCGTTTGGTTTCTTCAGAGCAGGCACACAAGTTTCTTCTTACAAATGCAAGTGAAGAGTTCCCCTTTTTAGCAATCTTGTCCACATGAGAGTTCCACCGCAGATCGCTGGACCTCAAAACACCTAAATAAGGATGTTGCTCAACAGCTACCAGGGTTTGGTTGTAAAGGGTGTAGTCTTTTTCTACTGGGGGTCTACTACGGAAAACAGACATTTTGTAGCATTTGGAGGGATTGAACAGCATCTGCCATCTATCAGCCCATAGGCCTAGTTTATCTAGGTTACGCTGTGAAGCCAAGGTGTCATCATTATGAGTGATTTTTTGATACAATAAAGCATCATCAGCAAACAATCTTAGTGTACATACTAAATCATCTTGCATATCATTAATGAACAACAAAAATATGTGTGACTATATAACAGAGAATTACCTTACCTTTGCAGAGATCAACAATGAATAACAGGAGTATTTTCAGTATGCCTTTGAAGCTACAGGACTTTCAAACCCCCAAAACTGGCGAGAAGCCTTAAAATTTGTACCATATTCTGTATAGCTATGGATCTAGTTGACTATCTGGAAGTATCGTAAGACAGATTAACAGCCCATAATTCATACTTGGCTCCTAGGCTTCAGGAAATAAAACAACAGAAAAGCCCTTCAGGTCAATTCAGGGCCAAGTATGAACTTTGGTGTAACTGAAATGGCCTATTTAAATTGTATTGAAGATAGAGTGTCATGTTCGTTTGTTTAGAATCTGCAGTATAGAATTATTACTGTCTTTGGGACAAACTTCTCTGATTGGATTGGCCAATTAGCAGCTATGACACTAGAATGGCTTTCCAACGCTGTATTCAACAACGTTGTGTCATGGTTGGCAATTTTGATGTCATCATTAAAACTAGAAGTTATTCCCCCATAAAATATTATCGTCAAGATCATTCTTGTGATCATCCTCAGAAATTTCCCCAAAATGGCGTTTGAGGCTTGTCAAATCATAATTTTTTTTTGCTCACTGTTTGAGCAAAACAAACACAAACAAGGGGAAATGTTGGTGACAAATTGAGCATTAGGCTGGGTATGTTCCTGTTGCTTCCTTGAGAGCTTCCAAAGTTTGAGCGTGCGCAGAAGGAAAATTGAATTTTTAGGTTTAATAATCTTGGTGCCCCTCGATGTTTACGTTTCGTTTTCTCACCTCCCTGCTTGTTTCCCTTCCCTTGTCCCTTTTTAAATGCTTACTGGCTTAATCAAGTTCAACCCTGGAAACACACTTTCTTAATTTTTGAAACAATTTACCATATTTCTTCCAATAATAGCCGTCCCTTGATTACTCGCCTACCTGGAATAATCACCTTCCTTAAACGGAAATATTTAAAATAATCGCCTCCTCGAATTATTATTATTATTTTTTAATTTTATTCCTGCAGGCGATGCAGTTGTGCATACAAAATGTGGGCC